AGGGAAAGGTAAGGGAAAGGTAAGGGAAAGGGGAAGGGAAAGGGAAAAAGCAGGGGACGAGGAAAGGGCGGGCCAATGATAGCAGGGGAAAAGGTCGACTTGGGCAGGAAATGGCTGGCTGGTTGCCCCTTTGAGCACAAGGTGGACAAAGTCTACTACGGTACCTACTCTACTACCGGTACGCAGCCCAAAGCAGGTGGCAAGTGATGGGTAGTCGGGTTTCGCATATGCGCAGAAACCTTCTTGTGCCGGCAGTTGTCTTCTTTCCAGCCATTGTTGATGGCTAACCAAGAAGACAGAAATAATAGTAAATTCCAGTGCGAAGAAGAAAGTGGGTGACTTGCACATCTCTTTCTCCTTGGGCCAACCTTGGAACGCCCCCCAGCCTAGAGTTAGGTAGTCCAGGGCATCTCCCAACCCAGGCAAGCGTGGGGCCAGCCGAGCGCCCGCCCGCCGCCAGCCAGGCCTGGGTTCCGCCCAGCTAAGCTATTGATTGTTTTGGCCCCGTACAAACATCCGAACATCGAACATTGAACATGGAACATTGAACATCGAAAACAACTTGGAACGATACGATAGCAGACCACCCCGTGACCAGCACACTCCCCCAGCACACACCCACCCACGTCCACACCTGATCACGCCTATTTCTATCCGCATGCCGTTTTGTTGCCAGTGCCTCTGATGCACCACCACCACCCTCAGAATGGCGCCACTTGAGCAACAATGGGTCAAGGTCCAGCAAAAGACCTTCACCAAATGGTGCGCATTGTACCTTTCTTTTGGCCGTCCGCCCGCTCACATGGCTAATCGCAATACCACTGCAGGCTGAACAGCAAGCTTAAGAGCCGAGTACTTCAGATCAACGACCTCATCACAGATCTCTCCGACGGCGTATGTGCCCCTCCTCCCTCCTCCCTTCCTCCCGCCCGCTCTCTTCCAGGGTCCACCCCCCCCCCCCCCCCCAACTCACTCACGCGCGCAATCCCAGATCCCAAGCCCAGGCCTACTAACAGACGCCAGATCATACTCATCCACCTCCTCGAAATCCTCAGCAACGAATCGCTCGGCCGCTATGCCTCCCGCCCCAAACTGCGCGTCCAGAGATTCGAGAATGTCAACAAGTCGCTCGACTACATTCGAAGCAGAGGCATCCAGCTGACCAACACGGGTGCAGAGGATGTCGTAGATGGCAACAGCAAGATCATCCTGGGCCTCATATGGACTCTGATTCTGCGCTTCACCATCAGTGACATCAACGAGGAGGGTCTGAGTGCAAAGGAGGGTCTCCTACTATGGTGTCAAAGAAAGACAGCTTGCTATGATGAAGTCGAGGTTCGCGACTTCTCCACCAGCTGGAACGATGGACTGGCATTGTGGGTACTATCCTTGATGGAGGGGGGCATGGAAAGCTAACCTTCCCGCAGTTGCGCTCTCCTCGATATCCATCGCCCTGACCTCATCGACTACGACAGTCTCGACAAGAGCGACCACCGTGGAAACATGCAGCTAGCCTTTGACATTGCTACCAAGGAAATCGGCATCCCAGACCTGCTCGATGTAGAGGATGTATGCGACGTTGCGAAACCCGACGAGCGCTCTCTCATGACTTATATCGCCTACTGGTTCCACGCCTTCTCGCATATGGAACGTGTCGAAAATGCGGGTCGCCGCGTAGAGAAGTTCGTGGCCAACATGCAAGGGGCGTGGCAAATGCAAAACGACTTTGAGCGACGCATGCGTGCGCTTCTCGAGCAGATTGCACAGCAACAGAAGCAATGGGAGGAGGCCCAATTCGACGGGACGTACGCCGACGCTAGGAACCAGGCCACAGAGTTTACAGCATGGAAGCGCAAGAACAAGCGGACATGGGTTGCTGAGAAGTCGGATCTGGTGGGCTTGCTAGGTAACATCAGGACAAAGCTGGCCACATACCGTCTACGACCTTATGATCCGCCTGCAGAACTCAGTCTGGAAGCACTGGATTTGGCATGGACAGGACTGATGAAAGCCGAGCGGCAGCGATCTCAAGTCATCAACGAAACGATACGAGACATTAAGAACGCACTACGGAAATCGTTCGCAGACAAGGCGAACGACTTTGCGCTTGCACTGAATACATTATCAACGTCCATATCGGCTCTAGAAGGCGACGTAGAGGATCAACTGGAACATACAAAGGAGATTAGCAAGTCGCTCCAGCCCCTGGACGAATATCTGACTCTTATTGCCTCGATTGACGAGCAGTGTGCCGAGGCCAACATCGAGGAGAATGACTTTACCACGTACACATACGACGAACTAGAGTACGAGCTAGGTCTCGTGCGCAATTCCGTGTCGAAGAAACTGGCCTTCTTGGAGAACCAAATGGTGGCACGCAACATGACCAATCTCACGCCCATACAACTGGAAGAATTCGAATCCGTTTTCCGACACTTCGATCGCGATGTATCCAATTCGTTGGCGGAACTGGAATTTTCAGCTGCATTGGCCAGTTTGGGTCTTGTTTATGACGAGGAAGAGATGCACGATCGATTCCGAGAAACTAGTGGTGGCAAGGATTATGTGACTTTTGAACAGTTTATCCGCTTCATGGTGGACGAGACAGAGGACCAAAACACTGCAGAGCAGGTGTTTGAGTCGTTCAAGGAGGTTGCCGACGGCAAGGTAAGTTTGCTGTCTCCTTTGCTCGTCGAATTCCCCACAAGATTGCTGTACTCACATGACTACTAGCCATACGTTACTGAACTCGATTTACGGCATTCGCTGGTACCTGACGAGGTCATTGACGACCTGATAGCTCAAATGCCAGAACACAAAGGTCCTGATATGCAGGAAGATCGCGATATCCCCAAATTCGACTACATCACCTATATGCAACGGTACATGGGCATCGACGCTGGCAACGGCAACCACGTCAACGGCGAGTAGGACGCGTCGAATCCATGGTACGCCAGAGCCCTCCTCACTCCTGCATTCGTGTAGGTTTTGTGGGGGTTGGGAAAACTGCCTCTCCCTCTCCCTTCCTCCCTCTAAACTTCAACTAATTAGCCCTGTTTCTTGTTTCAACCCCTTTCCCCGCCCTTTTTTCTCTCCATGCATAGCAGTGCTGCTTTGGCGTCACCTTCTTCTATCTTCTCGCCCCTTTCCGCCCTTTGTTGGATAAATTTGGTTTTGTTTTTAGCGCAAGGGGAGAAATGGGTTTGGGATATGTGGGCATCGGATCGGCTTAATTGGAGTATGCTGAGATTTCGCCTTTTTTTATTCTTTGGGGTGGGGGAAGTTGGGGGATATTATAGGGGAGGGGGGGGGGGAGTG